CAGGGGAGGCCGTTTTCACCCTCCCCTGACTCCAGAGGCTTTCCTGGAGCCTGGGAGGGTGAAAACGACCCCCCCCCGAGGCCCTCTGGAAGCCAAAAATGGATCATTTTTGAACTTCGCTAGGCCCATTGGACCCATTTTTTGCCCTCCCCAGGCTGCGGAGGCTTTCCTGGAGCTTGGGAGAGCGAAAATGGCCTCCCCTGGCCCCCCGGAGGAAATACCAGGATCAGCTTGGAGACGAGCAGTGGGGGGTTGTGCGTGCATGCGCATGGGGGGCACTTTGCATTAGTGGTGCCAGCACACACGCTCCCATTTTTGGCACACAACAACAAAAAGGTTAGTCATCATTGCCCTAGTATATTGTTCTCTTCTGATGAGACAAACTATCAAATGAGAGATTCACACATTTCCAGTTGTATCCAAATAATCCATTTGGATTTGTAAATTGCTTGTGGACTGTGCATAGTGAATATCTGCTTGTTTTTGCTAAGACTTGATGTCATTAGTAATTTTTGCAATTCCATTTTTAATTAAAATGCTATTAATCTTTCCTATGCTAGGGAAACTGTAGTCACTAGGGCTGTTTGATAGTCCTTTTCAATCTCTTGCCACAATGACGCTATCTGTTACGACTCTGTCCCCATTATTAGTTTTTTATAACCTTTTAATGCACTTTATTGATTTCATCAACTTCTGAAAATCTATGCCATATATTGGGCATTATTATCTTGGAGTACTTTGCACTGCTCTCCAGCTGTAAACTCTGATAAAAGTAGAAAGTCTTTACAGTAGTGGTATTCCATGAATGTTTATGGAAATACAATGTAGAGTTTACAGTGCATATATACAATACGGTAGATTCATAAAAAGAAAGAATGGCAAATCTTGTTTTACAGCTCTATCACTATGATTTTTTTTAACCTGGAATTGGAATCACTTTTCTCAGACAGTGAGTGATCTTTCCATAAATTGTCCACTTCCTTTATGAAAAGACTTTCTAAAATTAGTAGGGCATATTTGGCTCCATCTCACTGTTATTAAACTTAAAATGTTTTTTTCATTCATAATGATTTCTAGAACAGTGTAATAGTGTGGTTTATCTATTCTAGTAAACAAAAGTTGTAAAATTTATATACAGCATCCTGCAGATTAAAAAATGAAAACATGGTGGATAAAGATCTATACTTTTAAAAGTTGGAGATAGAAATAAATGAAATTGTGAAATTACTAACACTGATCTTTCGTAAAAAGTAATTAATATTGCACACTTTCTTGTCTTGCTGAAGATAAGTAATAATTCACTGTCACAGTTCAGGCCACAGAAGATATTATTGTATTTCTTAATGAATTTAGCTCTGAACTGAATTTCACTTTTAAATTGTTGTTCAAATGCTTTATGTCTGGAAAATTGAAGCCTCTGCAGTCATCACCGTAGAAATATACTTGCATCTCAAGATAACAGTTTATATATCAGCCAAAAGGGATGTTGTTTACCAAAGTCTATGATATAATGCAGGGATGACTAACCTTTTTGTAAAGGTGTGCCAAAACTGTGTGTGTGTGTGCTATCGTGCGCACACACGTGTCTACTCCTGTGCTCATGTGCAAGCGACCCCACCATCACACATGCCTGATTTTCGCCCTCCAAAGGCTTTCCTGAAGCCTGGAAGGGGCAAAAAACGGCCCAACAGCCGAACCAGAAGTTCTGGAACGAATTTCTGGCTTGCCCATTGCACCTGTTTTTCACCCTCCCCAGGCTTCAGGAAAGCCTCCGGAGCCTGGGGAGGGCGAAAAGCAGGCCCAACGGGTATAATGTGTTGGTCTTTTAAGATTTAATAGAACTTCATTAGAATCTATGAAATAAGTATTATTGGCAATCAAATATGTTGTATGTAATTTAATTTAATAAAGAAATGTACTTCACATTTATATTGCAATGTGAATGCACTTCTTTGGCACACATATTTTTATGACATCAGACACTGATACATATTTTGAATGTAAAGAGAAGGCTTGCAAGACACACATGACTCAGTATTCTATTCTCCCAAGGAACTGCCAAAGTAACACAGCACAAAATTACAGAAGCCAAAAGCTATTCCAGTTGTGTTAGGAACAGTCATGCCATCTTCCTTTGAAAAGCTGAGTTAAATTTTATTTTATTATTTTGGGTGTAGGGGCTGTTAGAAAAGGGGTCAAAAAAGATCTGTATCCTCTCCTGGTTTTTTTGTTTTTTTGTTTTTGTTTAGCATTTCAGCCTCTTTTCTGTGCACCTACAATAAATGTAAATAGGAGAAAAACAGTATATAAAGCAAAAATGTTTTTGGAGTTCTTTCTAGTCTTTAGTAACAGTTTTTACTTTTACTTTTTGTATGGAATGCATTGTGTGCGTTTATTTGCATTCTTACACTTTCCTGGGATTAACAGTGTACATAAATTGTACTTGTGTACATTTCTATGTGTAATTGGAATGAGGACTGTCCTGTTGTTGGAATTTTTATGATGAATTCCTCTGAGTCATTTTCTCATTATTTACTCCTTCCTACTAGTCAGCATGCTAGCCATAAATAGTTCCCAACAACTTGTTTAGTGATTGTTAGGAGTTACGATGGTGCTATGCTGGAACATTATTTTCCCGGTGTGCACATGCGCACCGGGCGGCTGCTCTTCAGGTTTTTCACATGTGTGCAAGTGTGGGCACTCCCGTTTTGACACTCAGTGCCAAAAAAGTTCGTCAACACTGCCCTAGTCTGTTCTTTCAAGTCTTCCAATGATGCACTTTTTGCCATCATAACTATCCACTTTGCTGCTGCTTTTCCTTTTCCTTTCCTTCCCCTCCCCTGCCTTCCCGTTTTCCTAACTTTGACATCAGTCCTTATGCAAGGACAGTTGGGTAAGGTGTTAGAAGTAAGATAATTTGAGTCTATGCCTTGAGGTGATTAGTGCCTTGAGTAAGAACACTTGGTTGATTTGTTCGTTTATTAATTAGTATGTTTTCTTGACTATCCATTATATTCCCAGGAATTTTTGAAGCCTTTGATAGTTCTCCACCTTTCACTTCCATTGTCACAGGGAATTCCAGGGATTCTATGACTCTGATTATTGTAGGTATAGACACATTGCAGCATTTGAATATCTTTTCTAAGGTCTTGAGGGCTGGTCTGCCAAGTGTGAATCAGTAATGTATTTCTTGGCTACTGTGGTTTAGTTCAGTATTATAGTCCTGTGCATACACAGTTTGGCTGGTAGTATTAAAAACAAAATTTAAGAGTTTGCATGATGTGGTATGTGTGTATGTATTGTGATTGTTATTGTCATGGTCCTTTAAATCAGTCTTGCCTCTTGGTGACTACATAGAAGTGGTTTTACCAGTACCGGCTCCCTAAGGCTGAGAGATCCTGATTGTTCTAACTCACTGGCTTTCATGCCTAAAGGAGGACTAAAACTTGGCTTTCCCCAATTACGATTATGTGATCGGGAGATGCTGTGATGACTGCAACTATGAGAACCATAGATGCCTTTCATTAACTGCCATCACAGCTTTGATGACTTCCAAATGAAGTCATCATTTAAACAAGGACTGGCTATACTAATTATATTGATAGGTATAAGATTAGAGTTATTATTTTATTGTTGTCTAAGGAGAGTCTTAGTCATTCAGGTCATGGTTGTTCCAAAAGGTGCTTTTTCAAGAGGCAACTGGACTTTCCTGTTTTTCTTTGACGAGAAGTTTTTCTTTAGCCAAGAAGCTTCTTTTGCCCTGACTGGATGATGGGGAAGGGAAGGATTTGCATTCCTTGCAGACAGCTGGTCATTTGCATTCTTTTAGAAAATTGTTGCGGTCACTTGGAGGCTTATCTGTGCCCTGGGGTCACCTGAGTAGTGCATATGGGTATGGAGCCTTCTAGGAACTGCTGACATTATTTTATTGTTGTTTTATTTTGGTTGTTTTCTGATCATCTGGTCAGAGTTGCACTGTTTGACTTGGGTGGCCATAATCACTCTCAGAGGCAGTTCTTTTTCTAAACTAAGAAAAATGTCTTATCTCCTCTATGAGATTATTTGGAAAGATAACTTTCTAAAGGTAAAATTAGATGCCAAATTCTTTCCCTACTTTTGGATAATGATTCTTTTTCTATGAAAATCCAAGAGAGAAGCTACATAGACTAAAAGGGTTGCAAAACAGTGAAGATTCTTAACAGTCTTTTCCATGGCTTCAGCACACTTGACATTATCTTAGTTAGGCAAATAGAAGGACATTTACATAACCTCTTTTTGTTGTTTTTGATGGGAAGAAATAGTCTTCTAAAATCATACTTCTGCTAATACTCAGAAATAGCCTATTTTGAAAATGTTAGCCTTTTCACATTAATCAAGAGCTTTTCTAAGTGAAAAGAGCAGAGCTTCTAGTCTCCAGTTGAATTTACTGAGACATAAGAGCAATATGAACACCACCAAAGAGTTTTCTAGGAGTCTTGGTGTATAGCTTCTTCTGAGAATGTTGGGTTTAGCAACTAAAATAAAATTTTGTACTTAGGTAGCTCTCTCTTTCTCCTATTATTTGTTTTTCTTTTCCATTTTGAACTAAGGGAAGATTGTTACCACAGTGGCAAATACTACTTTAGTTCCGATTAACTCTCATTTATATTGCACAATTATAGCAGTATTGTCAACAATATGATTGCAATTTTCAATGTACTTAAAATTATATGGTAAATGTAATAAAATTAAATATGCATCCATATTAAAAATTCTATCTGGGTGGGACGCTTGGTTCTTCAATAGAGTGAGTGATACAACTTACATGAAAGAATTGCTAATCTATTTTTGTGAACACAGGTAGAAATGGTAGCACAAGCACTTGAAAACAAATTGAAACAGTTAAAAAAAGCATGCCAACTTGTCACATTCTACAGTCTTCTAAGAATAGTCTGTTGATTTTTCATTTTGTTAAATTTTTAAGAATTAATTCCTAAAAATAATCCTTCAAACTTTTTACAGGTCCTTTTACAGATGTAGTCACCACGAATCTTAAACTACGAAATCCATCAGACAGAAAAATATGCTTTAAAGTAAAAACTACAGCACCTCGTCGATACTGTGTGCGGCCAAATAGTGGAATTATTGATCCAGGAACTTCAGTAACTGTATCCGGTAAAAATATTAAATACAATTTTGTTCCTTTTGGGGGGCTTTTTTCATTTATAGACGGTGTTGAATATTTAGGAAGTGCATAATTAAAAAAACCTAATAAATGATATATTTATTATTTGAATCATTAAAAATATCAGCTGAAAATAACCACATTATTGTTGACATTCTGCATAATAGTTTGATTAAGAAAATAATCTTGAGTTTTTGTTGGGATATTGAATATAGAGATCTTCTTTACATTTCTATGGACCAGTAGCACTAGCTTTTACTCCTGAATAAGTGTGAATTAGTAAGAGGCCACAATTACAAAAACAATCAAGCAACTTTATTTATTTATCTGTATCTTATGTAAAAACACTAACTTGGTTTGATATAATGATATAAGGCCTTGAGGAGCATTGTCCATGGGGTCGCGATTGGTCGGACATGACTTTGCAACTAACAACAACAACAGACAACCACCTTATGCTTCAATGAACGTCTACACCCCCAGGCACCAATTAAGATTTCTTTTTGGAAATAACATTTTATTCACCTTCAGGAAAAAGAAAACCTACTATGATTATACATACATACATACATACATACATACATACGTACGTACGTAAGTACGTATATGTATACATACATACATACATACTCGCGTGGACACACGCACACACACACACTCACACACATATATATATATTTAATATATATATTCATATTCGTAGATTTTCACGGATACAGGTATGCAGGTTTTGGTGTATTCGGGTCTTTTCCCGTGTAAGATTGAGAGTATCTTGCCGACGTTTCGATTAGGTCCCACTCGTCATCCTCAGGCTGGTGTCTTCGGCCTCGTGCCCGTGCGAGCAAAGCACAGGCACGAGGCCGACGACACCAGCCTGAGGATGACGAGTGGGACCTCATCGAAACGTCGGCAAGATACTCTCAATCTTACACGGGAAAAGACCCGAATACACCAAAACCTGCATACCTGTATCCGTGAAAATCTACGAATATGAATATATATATTAAATATATATATATGTGTGTGTGTGTGTGT